ATTGACTGATTTGATCTCCTTGCTGTTCAAGGGACTCTAAAGAGTCCACTCTAGCACCACAGTTCGAAAACATCAATTCTTTGGCACTCTGCCTTATTTATGGTCCAGCTCTCACATCTGTACATGACTACTGGAAAAACCATAGCTTTGATTATATGGACCTTTGTCAGCAAAGTGATGTCTCTGCTTTTTCATATGCTTGTCTGTGTTTGTCATAGTTTTCTTCCAAGGAGCAAGTGTCAAGTGTCTTTTAAGTTCATGGCTGCTGTCACCATCTGCGTTGATTTTGGAGCCCAAGAAAATAAAATCTGTCACTGTTTCCATTTTTCCCCATCTATTTGCCATAAAGTGTTGGGAATGGATGCCATGTTCTTAGTGTTTTGAATGTTGATTTTTAAGCCAGCTTTTCCACCTTTAATTGGTCCTAGCTGTATGTCGGTTGTCGCAGGAACCAGGGGAAATGCAGTACTGATGGAGCAAATTTAGGGCAAGAAATGGATACACAGGCCTTGCATTGAATATAGGCTACTGTATTGTCTTTATGAAAGTATTGCTACTGATCTACTAGGTGTAGAGAGAGATAGCTGAGCAAGCTGTTCAGCTGTATTAATAATAATAATTTCTGTATAAACTGATATTGATTGATTCCCAAAATTTTGTCCTTGTATTTTTTTTGTATTGTTGGAAAAGTTTTAGTTGGAATTTTAAAAAATTTGTCATCTGTATAGTTTGGTGAGCTGAATCATTAACGAACATAAGTTGAAAACCATGGTAAATTTAGGCAGAGTTCTAGAATTATGAACATACAGTGTTCTTTAGTATTATCACCATATCACAGTATGTTAACTTCTACAGTTGATAAACCTTCTGATTCCACTCAGGTAAGAAGTTTAAATCTGAGGTCTATTAATTATCCACTGTATTTTTGTAACAGCGTTTCCCCTATTGGTCAATATTTCTGTACAAATCTCTAAGAGATAAAGTCACAATGCCATTATCATGCCTTAGTCTCTTGAGAAAGTCAGTGTCATGGGGGAAAAAAAGGGATAGGACTTTTCTAGATTTATAAGACTAAGGAACTATAATAACTAAATGCAATTCTTGCAGCTTCATTGGATCCAAACTCTGGAAAACAGCTACAAAAGATATTAGGGAAGTTTTAATATGGATTGACTGGAAGATGACATAAGGGAATTATTTTCTTTTTTGGGGGAGGGAATTATTTTCTTCAGAGTAATAATGGTATTCTGATTAGGAGATGCATGCTGTCATAGTTGGAGATTGACTATCATGTCAGCAAGGTACTTTAAACAAAATATATAGCTAATAGGCATAAAATCATGTAGATAAAAATATAAGTTGGATAAATGCTCTGGAAAGACTCATTTGCAATAAAAAATAAATGTACACAAAAGAAATTAAATATCTGGTACTATGGACTGAATGTTTGCATCTTCTCGAAATTCATATATTGAAGCCCTAAACCCCAATGTGATGGGGCCTTTGGAAAGTAATTAGGATTAGAAGAGGTCATGAGGTTGGGACCCTGATAATGGGATTAGTGCCCTTGTCAGAAGGAATCCACTCACCAGTGCAAGAGCTGTCAGTCCCTGGGTTGGGAAGATCCTCTGGAACAGGAGATGGCACTTCACTCCAGTATTCTTGCCTGGAAAATTCCATGGCAAGAGAAGCCTAGTGGTCTACAGTCCATGGGGCCGCAAAGAGTCAGGTGTGACTGAGTGACTGAGCAAAGAAACAGCTGAGAATTTGTCCTCTCTCTATTCGTATGCACACCCCAAGGAAAGACCATGTAAGCAGACTGCAAGAAGGCAATGAGGTAGAGATCTCTCAGCAGAATCCACCCATGCTGGCACCGTCAGAGACCTCAGAGGTCCAGGCTCCAGAACTGTGGAGAAATAATTTTCTCTTATTTAAGCCACCCTGTCTAGGTGTCCTGCTGTGGCGGCCCAAGCTGTCTGAGATTGAGCTTGGTACCAGTGAGTGGGCTGCTGCTGTCACAGATACCTACAGTTGTAAAAATGGGTGATTGGAAGAGGCTGGAAGAGTTTTGAGATGTGTACTAGGCACACAGACATTGAGAGGAAATGTAGAATGTTATTGCAGAAACATGCTTACAGGAAAAGGCAGTCCTCATCATAAAATGGTAAAGAACCTGGCTGCACTGTAGTGCCTCGTGGAAGGTAGAACGGACGTTTAGCTAAGGAGATTTCTAAGCAAACCATTGAAGGGGCAGCTTGGTTCTTCCTGACTCATATAGTAAAATGCAAAAGGAAAGAACTGAATTGAAGAAGGAATTGTTAAGCAAATAAAGGAGCCAGAACTTGAAGATTTGGAAAATCTTCAGCCTATTCATATTGCAAAAAATGAAAAAGCTTGTTTCTGAAGAGAACACTAAGGCTATGGCTGAACAACCATCTGGTAGAGTCATGGACTCAGTCGGCCATCTCAACAGGAACCATGCAGAAAGATGGGATTATACAGCAGAGACTGCCAGTTTGAAGTAAAACGAATAGAGAAGATGGGATGGAATGAAGGAAGATTGTTAGACTTGGATTTCAGAGGGTGGGACCATGAAACTATCCTTCAAGAAGCAAAAAGGACCCCTTAGGTGACCACACAGATTCTCAAGGCTGCCATGCCCATCACAGATCCAGTGCACCCAAGGCAAGGCTGAACAAGGCAGCAAGGCCACCTCCATCTTGGTTTCAAAGGGCAGGACTGCTGCTCAGCAGAGCTGCATAGACAGGTCCCTCCCAGAGAGGCATGAGGGCAGGCTGTCCCACTGAGCTGTGGGGCTGGAGGGCAAGAGCATCAAACCACACAGCCGTAAGATCTAATGCAGGGAATTCCCCGGTGGTGCAGTGGCTAAGACTCTGTGCTCTCAATGCAGGGAGCCCAGGTTTGCAGTGACTAAGACCCTGTGCTCTCAAATCACGGAGCCCAGGTTCGATCCCTGGTCGGGCAACTAGATCCCACATGCTGCAACTAAGAATTCTGCATGTCACAACAAAGACCCGGGACAAATGAAATTTGCCTTGTGGAGTTTTGGACCTGCTTGGTCCTTCCTTCTTAACTATTTCTCCCTCTTGCAATGGAAGTGTCTCTCCTATGACTGTCCTACAACTATATTTTGGGAGCAGTTGTTTGGTTTTACTGCTGGAGAGGAATTCTGCCTCAGAATGAATCCTGTCTACAGTTTCACTTAGGTTTAGATGGTATTTTATTTAGATGATACTTAGGTGAGACTCTGGACTTTAGACTTCAGAGTGAGAAGTGTACTGAACTTCTCACTAAGAGGCTAGATAGATATATGCTCTTCCTTCATCAGGAAAAAAAGAGTCCAGATGGTCAGGGTAGAATCTGAGCTTTCTAATTGGATATGGTGGGAGGGAAAGTGCCAGTCTTTGCCCTACTTCAGCTATCCCATTTATTGTGTTTGTTTATCTCTTGCAATGAAAGGCAATAAAAGTGATGGCCTGGCCCACCTGTATTCTTGCTTAGAGCACCAGAGGAATTCAGAATGAACCCTGTCTGCCCAGTGTCCAGTGCAGGACATATCTGTAGTCTCTTTGTATTGCCCCAGGGGATAGCTGAGCTGCTTTCTTGGAACCTATGAGTCATCTCCCAGGTGCTAAATCACACCACCACAATCCACTCAACTCCCAGTGTATTAACACATGGATCCTGAAATTTATTTCCTGAGCAGCCTCAGTCTCCATAGTCTGCACAATGGTGTTGGCTGTTTCCAACTAATAAATGATAAGCATGTGGTGAACGTTATCAAGATCTTCATCACCACCTTTGCCAGGGAGATAAAAATCCTGAACTCAAAGCTGTTTCAGAGATGATGTCCACTAGATGGCACTAGTCACAGGTAAATAAAGACATACTGTCTTCATCACAAGTTTGGAAGTCCTATGGAAAGAGAAATAAAAGTGTGGTAATAATAATAAAAAGTGTGGTAATAAGGCAATGTACGTACATAGTGCCCCCCAAACTAAGCATTTGATCCATAATAATTATTAAAGCAGCTGTCCAAAATAGTTACAAGTCAAAATGTGTTCTGGTTTTTGATTCCCAGACTCCAGAAGATTCTGATGCAGTGTATCAAATCTTGACTATTTGAAAGATAATTCTCTTCATTTAGCATCTTGTAGTTGCTATCCTCTCCTTTCTTCTGTTTGCAGCCACAGTTCTAGAAAGAGCAATCTCCCTGGCTCCCCTTCCTCTCCTCTCTTTCTATGCCCTCCGTGCAATCAGACCATTTTGCCAACACCCAATTGCAAATGTCCCCATGCAGGTTACCAGTGAAATTCCTCATGTCAAGATCTTTGGGTGGTTTTCAGTGCTGATCTAAGGAAGCCAGATGCAATATTTGCAGCTGTTAGCATTTATCCAATAATTACCTGGCACCTGCTATGCATTTGACACTGTTCTAAGCACTATGATGTATAGCTCGATAAGTCTCTGTCTTGAGGGCACAGCCAGGTTAGAACCTTCATCAGATATCTGGCCCTGGGCTTGGGCAGGGGAGCCCCACTATTTGGATGAATAGGACAGCAAGCTCTGATAAAGGTGCCCACTTTTAACTCGCTTCTCTGCTTTGCATTGAAATCTGCCTTTCAGACCACTTGCTCAAGTATTATTTTCATCATATTCTTTTTAATATTCCTTTTATTTATTTATGTATTTGGCTGTGTCTGGTATTAGTTGTGGCACACAGGATGTTCGTTGCAGCCTGTGAACTCTTAATTGCAGGATCTAGTTTCCTGACCAGGAACTGAAGCCTCCTTTCCCTCCACCCCTACATTGGGACCATGGAGTCGTAAGCCACTGAACCAGCAGAGAGGTCCCTCATCCTATTCTTAACAACTCTCCTATCAACATAGCATCTTAAAATTGCTGAAAATATGATATTTTAGGAGGCAATGATCACTCCTTAAAGAGATCCCTTTGCCCCTTCCCCCATGTAATAACAGTGAAAAGGCACCTCTGTGAGCCGGGAAGTGAGCCCTCACCAGACGCTGACCCGCCAGAGCCATGATCTGTGACTTCCCGGTCTCCAGAACGGTGAGAAATGAATGTGTGTTGTTTCCACATTACTGAGTTTTTGGCGTTTTTATGACAGCAGCCCAAACAGACTAAGACAAACACCTATGGCATAGGGAGAGCTGCTTTACATAGTATGGACAAAGAAGGCCTCTGAGAAGATGCCATTTAAGCTGAAACGTAAAAGTTGCAAAAGAGTTAATCTTTAGAAGACCCTGGGAGGAAGCCTCCAGGCAGAGGGAACAGTAAGCGCGAAGGCACCACAGAACTTGGAATGTTGGGAGACCGAAAGGAGAGCCATTTGCCTAGAGGTTAGTGATGACAGTGGCTAGAGGAGGCCTTGTTATATCAGAGGGGATATCTCACTGGAACATGTCTAAGAGCTGACAGAATTGATTCAGTAAAAAGGAATTGAGGTACAGAAGGGGTGGGGCTCCATCATGAAAGTGGAAGCATTTGCTTTGATAAGAGCAGAAATGTGCATACTTTTTTTTTTTTAATGTTTAAAGAGAACTTTATTATGACAGTGAGTTTTGACTTGAAAACATTCTGTGAAGTGGAAGTGAAAGTGGCTCAGACGTGTCTGATTCTTTAAGACCCCTTGGACTGTAGCCTTCCAGGCTCCTCTGCCCATGGGATTCTCCAGGCAAGAATAATTGAGTGGGTTGCCATTTCCTTCTCCAAGAAATGTGCATACTTTTTAAAGCTTTTAGTCTCCTTTCCAGACCCCCCTTTAATTTTCAGTGTCAGCAGGATTCTGCCAATGACTGTCTCCCAGTCATCCTCTCTGAATCTTCCTTATGTAGACACTCTCATGCCTATACCACTCTCGTGGACTTCTCATATCCAACTGCAGGTAGATATATTTTAATCTCTCAAATTATAGCTCCAGCCCAGACCTGTTCTCTGACCTGATTTAGCTGCTGATTTGACATTTCCACTTGGATAGAGGTATCTTTAATGTATGCAAAATACATTGGGGTTCCTGAGTGGGTGGGATTCTTCTCCATACACAGCACACTACGGAGAGTCGTGGGTGCTCACTGATGACCCAAGTTCTACCTCTCCTCTGACCTCTACCCCCATTCTTCGATACAGATCTTTGAAGTGATTTTATTCTTATGTAACATACAATAGTAAGCATTACTAGAGTCACCAGCACTTCTGGCTCTCCTTCCTTTCCTAGACATCATATTTATTCTTATAAAAGGATTATGTTTATCTACCTCCTTGAAGGTAGACTTAGCTCCGGCTCTTATGTTAGCCACTAAAATCTGGTTGAAAATTACATGTGCTGCTTCCGGGTGGAAAATATTTAAGATTAGGTGTTCAATTCTCCTTGCTGTCTTTTTTTCCCCCTTCTTTGTTTTAAGGTTATCATTTGTTGAGATAAAGATACCTAAGATTAAAGCAACCTGGAATGCTGAGCCAACACGTGGAAGAAAATTGCCCAGAGAGTCATTTGGACATGCAGCAAACTTTGATCAAGAAGGGAAACAAAACGAAACAAACCATTTGTTATATAAGTCACTGAGGTTTTGCTATCTTTTTTTCTTTTTAGTTCTCATGTGTGTGTACCTGTCTGTATCTTGGGGTTACTACATATAATATGACATATGCTGACTGATTAAAAAAAAAATGCTATGAAAATTCATTGTTTAAGGCAAATCTCTTCTAGCCACTACTTCAACCAGCTGGGCACTCCTAAGCCTCTTTTAACTAGAAATTCTGGAACTGCCAATGCTCCCAAACTGTCCGTCTTCAAATCTCCCCAATTTGTTATCATCACCATCTACTTTGTCATTCAGTCCTAAATCCAAAAACACAGATCAGCTTAATTCCTCCCTGTTCCTCACTCCGATAGTCTGATTACTAGATTTTTTTACATCTGTCTCAGATTTGTCCCAGACATCTGCAATAGCTTTCTTCCTATTCCTGTGTCTAGTCTTAGAATATACAATACCTTCAAAATCAGAAGTGAACAAAGGGTCTACAAAACTTCCTCCTGCCCTTGCCCTCAGTCACCCCTAGTCCCTCTTCCTGAAGGGAACCAGGATGAGGTTGAGAGGTCGCGTATTCCTTGAGAGATACTCTCTGCACATGGAAACAAACAATTTACCCAGAGTAATCTGAAAACAAAGCTGGCCATCCCTTTCCCAGTTGAAAGCCTTCCATTTACAAGCTCTTGAGTATCTAGGACCTTCCTCCATCCTGCCGATCTTCTTTCAGTCCCAAATGACCGCTTCTCAACTGAGATTAATCCTGCCCTGGGGCTTTTCTTGACCTGTTCCCTCCGCTTGGGCAGTTTTTCCCCAGGTCTGTGCTTGCTAGTTCCTTCCTGAAGCATTACCTCCTTGGAGAGCACACACAGCCTTCCCAAGCCAGTCATCCCCCGTGACAGAGGCCTTTTGTGTGTTGCCTTCAAGCCTCTACCACAAGTAAAGTTGTCAGCCTTTATTTGCCAGGCTCTTGGCCTGTTTATCGACCATCTCCCACATTAGACTTTAGCCCCGGAGGATAGAGATGGGCTTGATTTTGTTGCCCACTGAATGTCTACCCAGCTTCTAGTTCCGTACATGTCACAGAAAAGGCACTTGATGAATAAGGAGCTGATGGAAAAGCTAGTACCGTGAACAAAATAAAGGAAGATGAAACTAAAAAGAAAGTAGCCTCAGCTCTTTTAGCAGGCAGATCAGGCCTGCATACTGTTTCTCCAATCTTCATCCTGAGCATCTTCTCGCTGAGTGGCTGGCTGTATCTCTGGCTGGGCCACCACTCAGTGTAGAGGAGAGGTGGTGAGGGAATAAGAAAGTAGGGTTCATCCCCGCAACTTGGAAGCCTTCACTTCTTCCGGAACAGCCAGCACAGAGTACTTGTTTGCCACCCTTGTATTTTGTCACAGACATTTAACAACTGCTTTAAACATAAATATTAAGCAATCACTTCCTCCTTTGTTTTAGGGATCAAAAGTTCTAAAAAAAAAAAAAAAAAAGCAGGTAAAACCAGAAAAGACAGGGACTCCTGCAACATGTTTATGAAGAAACATTGACTCCTCAATCTCAAATCAGTATCTACTTCTGCCTTAAATGTTTTAATATAGCACATACCTTTCTAATCATAAAAGTAATGCCTCATATCACTGTAGATGATAGAATTCTGAAATTGTCTTTAAAAATCCCTAAGGTTAATCCTTCATCTGTTACTCTGTCCTTGGAAACCAACAACAAAAGCTTCATTCATCTCTACTTTAATTTCACCTTCTGAATTTATTTCTAGGTATCCAGGTCAGCTGATTGGATTAGCTAGGTAATTTAACCCAGCCATTTTGCTTTTATCTCTTACCAGAGTTGAGGATAGATAAAACCCAAGCTTCTTAATGTGGCATATGAGGTCCCTCGTAATCTGGCCCCAGCCCACCTCTCAGCCTTATTTCTCACCACTTCCTTCCTTCCCACTTAACTGGGAGCTTACCGGAAAAGGGCATGGGCACAGAAATTGTTCTACTGGTTCAGACCGCTCCTATTCACCCAAATACTTCTGTGCCAGGGAATCGAAGGAGACCCAGGCTTCCTGTTGTATATGGTGTAAGCTTGGAGGAGTGGGTTAAAGGATCCTGAAGTGCTATACTCACCATGAATTGATGAGTGCAGAAGTGAATTCACCTGGAAGGGGTCGGGCTGACTATTCTGATCAGCACGCAGAGATCAGGACCCATCCTCAGGTGTGTAGCAATGCCACCAAGTTCACAGGTCTCTTGAAGAGAGCTGCAATGAACTGAATGTGTCCCTGTCCAAAATTCAGATGTTGCAACTGTACCAGAATGATGGTATTTGGAGGTGGGAGCCTTGGGGGGTAGTTAGGTCAGGAGAGTGGAGCCCTCGTGATGGAATTCGAGTCTTCCAAGTAGGGAGCTAGCTATGTGAGGACAGCCCCCTGAGTGTCCTCTGGAAACCAGGACGAGGGCATTCACTGACCGTGCTGGCACAGGATCTCAGGCTTCTGGCTTCCAGAACTGTGAGAAACAGAAATTAACATTTGTTGTTTAAGCCACTCCATCTATGGTAATCTGTTAGAGTAGCCCGAACCAACTAGGACAAGAACCATACCTGTTCTCCATCCTGAAGAGTCTCTGCCAACTTGTAATACTGGTTGGTCAAGGACTTGTATCCTTCTTTTACATCCAAAGGGTGATTTTTACATGCTCCTCCTGTATGGCCCAGAGCTCCTCCATGCTGGGATAGTCATGAGTAAAAATGGAGAAAACTTCAAGCACATTCTTAAAGTGGAATATTTGGTGGTCAATGTATCCTGACCACATGAAGTGTAATATCAGAGGCACTCCTCCAACTCAGAATGTCCTTGCTCAGTCTGGAGTGGTGGGATGTGGAGAGGTGATCTGTACTTTTTTTAAAGGCCCTTCAGAAGGAATTGTGTGTTTGTGATACAGCTGTGCATCTTGATTGCAATGGTGTGTACGTGGAGCTATGTGTGTGCATGCGTGCTCGGTCACTTCAGTTGTGTCCCACTCTTTGCAAGCCCATGGACTTTAGCCCATGATGCTCCTCTGTCCATGGGATTCTCCAGGCAACAGTACTAGAGTGGGTTGCCATACCCTCCTCCAGAGGATCTTCCTGACATAGGGATCAAACCCACATCTCCTGCAGGTCCTGCATTGACAGGCAGGTTCTCTACCACTCACGCCACCTGGGAAGCCCCACATGAAACTATACTTGGGATAAAATTGCATAGAGCTACACACACACACACACACACACAGTGACGTGTGATAAGCTCTATGGTTTGTACCAACGTCAATTTCCTGGGTTCTGTATTGTACTGTAATTGTGCAAGATGTTAACATTGGGAGAGGCTGGGTGAAGGGTGCAAAGGAACCTTACTGTGCCTGTCTTTGCAAATTCCTGCAAATCTTAATCATTTCAAAATAAAAAGATCTTTTTTTTTTTTAATGTAATGGGGAGCGATTCAGAATACAGGAGCACTTGGTCTAAAACAGTGAAGTGGGTTGGATCTTGTGCAAAAATTTCCTCTGTGTCTAGGCCTAAAGATATTCCTGAAGAAAGGGATGAAGTGAGCTACCTTAGCAGATTTAAAATTAGTATAAAGTCTAGATAGGTCTTCAGCTTCTTGGAGCTCTGTGAGAATACTAGTGAATCCCCAGCTGCTTTTCTGAAGACCTGTAGGGAGAGCAGGCAGACAGGCAGGTGAGTTGTGTAGACCACAGGAACAGGCCAGAAAGCCCAGGACTTCCCTGGAGGTTCAGTGGTTAAGACTCTTTGCTTTCAATGCAGGGGATACAAGTTGATCCCTAGTCGGGGAACCAAGATCCCAAGTGCCATGTAGTGCAGTCAAAAAAAAGAAAAGGAAAGAAAAAAAGAAAAGGAAGTTAGTCCAAAAAGGAAAATACACAAATGAGTTGGGTTAATGACTCCCTCGAGTGTTAAGTGATAATAAACATCTGAGGTTTTCTTTAGTCATCAGACAAATGCAAATTAAAAACACGATGTGATCCTAATACACAGCCACAAGAATAGCTCAGATGAAAAAGACACACAAACCAAGTGTAGACAAAAACATGTAGCAACTGAAATTCTCATAGCTGATAAACGTGTGAGTCAGTGCAATCACTTTGGAAAATAGTCTGCCGTAGATACCTACTGCAGTGTCTACTGAAGTAGAACATATGTATTGTTGTTGTTGTAGTTTAGTCACTGAGTCGTGTCCAACTCTTTTGAACCCCATGGACTGCAGCCCTTCTAGCTCCTCTGTCCCTAGGATTTCCCAGGCAAGAATATTGGAGTGGTTTGCCTTTTCTTTCTCTAGGAGATCTTCCCAACCCAGGGATCAAACCTGCATCTCCCGCACTGGCAGGTGGGTTCTTTATCACTGAGCCACCAGGGAAGCCCTGAACATAACTATATGACACAGCGACTCTGCTCCTAGGTATGAACTACATAGAATAGTCTGGATATGTTTACAAAAAAAATTTAACAATGTTCTCAGCAGCACTATTCATGAAAGCTAAAAACTGGAAACAACCCAACTATTCACAAACAGTAGAATAGATAAATAAGTGGTGGTAAATTTATACAGTGGAAAGTACTGTCCTGTGCTTGATCTCTCAGTCGTGTCCGACTCTTTGCGACCGCATGGACTGTAGCCCTCCAGGCTCCTCTCCATGGGTATTCTCCAGGCAAGAATACTGGAGAGGGTTGCCATGCCCTCCTCCAGGTGATCTTCCCAATCCAGGAATCAAACCCAGGTCCCTTGCATTGCCGGCAGATTCTTTACCATCTGAGCCACCAGGGAATCCCAGACAAGAGAATACCGTTTAACAATGAGAATGAATGAAGACTGTTATAAACAATAACATGGATGAATCTTATATTTGTAATACTGAGTGCAAGAAGACAGACACAAGAGAAAGGGAAACAATTTTATGATTTTGATAGAAATCTTTCCTTTTTGATTCCACTTATATGAAATTCAAAGAACAAGTGTTAGAAGTCAGGACAGCAATTATCCATTGAGGCAACTACTGGGAGAGAGCTTGAGAGGGCATCTGGGGAGCTGGCTATTTCCTGATCCTTGATCTGGGTGCTGGCTGCTCTGGTATGCTTGTTTTGTGAAAATTCATGCAGTACACTAGGCTTTGCATCATTTTGATGTGTATTTGTACCAGAAAGAAACATTTGCTTAAAATAATGAAAATCATTGCACAGAACAAGCTGGAAATATTTGGGTAAGAATTATAAAATTGAACCGAGATATTTATGTGACATTGTTTATTGCATCAGTAAGTCTTTTACAAAAAGAAATTACACCCAAAACAAATAGAGCTATGAAGAATACATCAAAATGATGACTGATAAGAATACTGAACCCCTGCACAGCACAAGAAACCATTGACAAAATATACTTGCAAATTATATGATCCACTGGAGTTATTATTAAAAATATATAAACAGTTCATACAACTCAATGTCAAAAAAACAAACAACCCAATCAAAACAAATGGGCAGAAGGGCTTCTCTGGTGGTCCAGAGGTTATGAATCTGTCTGCAGTTACAGGGTACGTGGGTTTGATCCCTGGTCCAGGAAGATCCCACATGCCATAGGCAACTAAGCCCATGGGCCACAGCTACCGAACCCACGTATCACAATGACTGAAGCCCACACCCCTGAGAGCCTGTGCTCTGCAACAAGAGAAGCCCCCGCAGTGAGAAGTGTGTGCACCGCAGCTGAAGAGTAGCCCCACTGGTCACAACTAGAGAAAGCCCACGCACAGCAATGAAGACCCACTGCAGCCAAAAATAAAGGAGGGAAGGAAGGAAGGGAGAGAAAGGAAAGAAACTGGGGCCTGAAAGGGAAATATTTTTAAAAATGTGTAGAAGACCCAAATAGACATTTTGTCTAATGAAAACATACAGATGATCAGTAGGTACATGGAAAGATGCTCAGCATCGTTAATCATCAGAGAAACGCAAATCAAAACTACAGTGAGCTATCACCTCATACTTGTCAGAATGACTATCGTGCTAAAGACCATAAATAACAAATGTTGGTGAGGTTGTGGAAAAAAGAGAACATTTTTACACTGCTGGTTGGAATGTAGATAAGTGCAGCCACTGTAGAAAGCATTATTGAGGCTCCTCAAAAAATTAAAATTAGAACTACTATATGACCCAGAAATTCCGCTGCTGGGTATTTATCTGAAGAAAATGAAAATACTAACTTGAACATGCACCTCAGTGTTCACAGGAGCATTATTTGTAATAACCAACATGTAGGAGCAACCTAAATGTCCAAGCATAGATAAAGAAGACATGATATATGTGTGTGTGTGTGTGTGTGTGTGTGTGTGTGTGTATAATATGGAATATTACTCAGCTGTAAAAAAAGAATGCAAAAATGCCCCTGGAGCAACATGGATAGACCTGTTAGGTATTGTTCTTAGTGAAATAAAGTCAAAGACAAAAACTACATGTTATCACTTATATGTGGAACCTAAAAAATAAAGCAAACTAATGAATATAATGAAATAGAAGCAGACTCAGATAAAGACAAAAAATTAGGGGTTACCAGTGGGGAGAGTAGAAAGGTAGGCAAGATAGTGGTAGGGACTTCTGAGGTAAAAACTACTATGTATAAAATATATAAGCTGCAAGGATATATTGCACAGCACAGGAAATATAGCCAATATTTTATAATAACTTTAAATGGAGTGTATTCTATAAAAATTTTGAACCAGTATATGGTATACCTGAAACTAATATAATATTGTAAGTCAACTATATCCCAATTTAAAAAAAAGTACTGGCACACTTAAAATTTAGCATTTTTATTATATTTAATAGTTTTGTTCAGAAGGGACACATCAGAGTAGTTTAAAAGGTAACATTATTTTTCATAAAAAATATGTGCAAATATTTCCATATGTACATGATTTGACTTTTTCACTTGTTGAAATTCATATACAATAGTAGAATTTTATCCTATAGGTTAAAAACATAACAAAAGCTTTAATTTCAAGTAAAATTTCTACTGAAAATATAGAATTAAAATTATGTTTACTATTCACAAGATGCATAAAGAGACGAAATTACTAGAGTGTGCTTGGGAAACAAGTCAAATAGACTGTGGTCTTATATAGCCATAAATGTACCCAAGATCTTACAAAACTCTAGCCTTTAAAATGTAACTTTGGTATTTCCTTTGACTTAAAAAAAAGAGAGAGTAGTGCATATTTCCTCTATTGAACAGAGGTATTCATCCATTTTCTGCAAGACTATTACATTCAGTCTTTAGAGCTATGACTTGTTGCCATTATAGAAAAGTATTACTGTAAAAAATGAGATAACATTACAATCCTGGTTATGTTGTATCCAACTAAGTGAGAAATCTGTTCCCTATCAATTAAAGACAGTATAACTTATGAGCATCAAAGACTATTGTAACATCTCAGGCCACTATAACTCACTGAAATTCTAATATGTAGTGGGGGTAGAAGGAAGAGAAGGATGCTTTTTAGTCAGCCAATTTGATCTGATCACTAATTTCTTCAGAAGTAGATAGAGACCTTATTTCTGATTATATTTAAGAAACCCAGAGATAAGATACGCTGCCTTTGGATAGCCAAATGTCTTTAGGAACTCCACACATCTGTGCCAGAAATACAATACCATTCTCAGTCAAGTTAAGACATTGTCTCAGTTGAAAACCTGAGTATTTTTCTCTAGAAATGAAGTACAACTTCATTCAGTCCAGTGTAAAATACATGCAACCAGTCCACAGGACCAAAGCCAATATATTATACACAATACTTAGAAAATTATTGGCCCTCAGAAAAGGTTAAGTAAAAAATATTTTTGGCTTAACATATGGATTTCTAAAAACATATATTTTCAATGTGTATATTCCAAACCAACTTTTTTCCTTTGATATTAAGCTCATTTAGAATGCTTTGTCTTAATCAATATGCACATATATATACACATAAGCAGTTCACTTTTTAGATTTTTTTGAAAGGTGTTTAGGATTTAGTTACAGATCACTTCACATACTTGCTAACATTTTAACAAAAAATATAAACTTGTTTTAGTCATCATGGTCTTACGAACATATTAAAATTGATTTTTGTTCAAAATAACACAATTTTTCTGTTAGATTTTAAATAGACCATACTTAAATATACTCTGCACAATGCTTATTTCTATAAACTAAGGTAAATTAAAACTGCGTTTTTCAACTAAAGATAGTGTATCATGTATTTTTACTGGATCTTATTTGGGAGCTTTGCTTTTTTATATCAAAAAATGATATCAATAAACCACAATAGTCTTATCAGTTCACTTCTCTGAGTCAATTCTGTAGCATTTAAATAAACATTTCCTTTATTCTAGCTACATATCTGATCACATATAGTAAGACTTCATTAACCAAGTTTGTATTTTTAAAACTTTTTGGATGCATTTACCAAAAGGGATTTCTAAAGACTTTTACTGATAAGTACACTAATAATTGAGCCTTTACTCACGGTGACCTTACACTGTGATCAGAGCAGCTCATAGGTATCAAGGTCAATCAGAAATAGATTTACAGGATAACCGTTCCTGACTCACCTGCCCACAGAGACTGCTGGGTGACCCTTTCCCCAGCTGCACAGAAGTACACATGTACCCACATGAACACTCCTAGCAAATCTGTTGTAGGAGCAGCAGCATGGTTCCCTCAGATCCTGCAAACTGCTAAACTCTCGACCATGTTGCACATTTTAGAAGTAAACTACTCATTTTATAAATAAAGCCTAGAAACAATCTTTGTGCTTCTCTTTCAGTGGTTAAGAGGTTAAAAAAGAAGATTTTTAAAAGTCTACTGGAAAAAGAATGAGTGTTTCAAGTTCAAAGAAAATAGTCAATGCAGAAAATATTTGCATAGAATTACACGGTGGGGAAATTCTGCCACGCAGTCAGTCTTTGCTTAGAGAGACCTCCTGAGCTCAATTTCAGGAAGCAAGTCTTCGAATAGCCTGTGAAAGCAAGAGGGAAACAGTGTTGATGCGACAGAATTCTCCGTAAGTCTACCTTTTCTGCAAATATGTCTTTGTAGTGTTGGTTGCTTACATTTACTCAGGTGTTTAGTACCACAATAAAAGTAGGATAAAACTTTAATTTTGTACCTCATCATACGCTAACTGGATGTAGTTTAAAAGCAATCATTACTATTTCCTGAGCACTTACTATGTACAAGACTGTTTTATTCCTTTACATGTACGCATTAATGGTCACAACTCTGTAACGTATTATTTCTATTTTACATGAAGAAATAAAATGAAGTCAGGATAAGTAAATTGTCCCAGGCTACTCAGATGGTACGTTGCAGAATCAGGGCCAGCACTCAAGTCTGTTGGTCTAAAGTTCAGCCCCTTAAAACCACTCTGCTTTACAATTTCCTTATCTACAGGAACCCTACCTGAATGATGCTTTTATGTGGCATCAAGAATACTTCTATAGCGTGGCAACTTCTTAAGTTCCAATTGTGATATATGAGTTTTCATTCAACTAAGTTGTCCCCATAGCCTTAATCATAAACTGGTAAGCTGGAAGGACTTCACAGCTTCATAATGACATTCCTGGGCTCATTAAGTTGATGGGCTAAAATGCAGAACCCCTGATTTTCACTCTACTTAGTGATTTCTTCCCTAAAAATCTTCTCTGCCTGTAATCTAGCAGAAAATACGGGGTTCTGCATTAAGGTCTAAACCAATTCTATAACTGTAAATGGGGCGCCCACCTAGACCACAGTTCATGTGATAATGCTCAAGTCTTTAGTGGACCCCTGCTCAATAGAAGCAAAAAATTTGATATAGCTGTTATGAAAATAAACCCATTCTTAAGTCACAGTAATGTAAATATCTTGATGAGACCAAGGGACATCATAGTTGACCCTATCTGGGATTTTGTATCCCCTTCTTGTTCAGGGAAGAACTAACAAATTTCTTATCTGTGAGGAACAGTAAAGAGAACAGAAGGAGTCTCACCCAGGGTAGAGTCTGTTATAAACATGAAAGCTGCTCTTAAATATTTAAGGACTATTCAGAGAAGGCAACCAGAATGATCTCAGTCCACTGGATGATTCTTAGAGAAAGGGTGAATCTAGTTTGTAAGCATGGCTGAGACCTGAAGACTTCCAGCTATGTAGCAAATCCCCTTGAAAAGCTACTAGTTGCCAGTGTCTAGAAACATTCACACAAAAGCTGAGAGAACATCTTTAGAGATGGGGTAGGAAGGATGTCTGCAGAGCTGAGGATGTGGGGCTACTTGATTTTGAAACATCTTTCAACTTGAATCAGTCTCTAAAGCCATCATCAGAGGAAGAGGTTCCTACTCATCATATACAATTAAGTTGGCCAAAAAGTTCTTTTGGTTTTGTCCCTAAGAGCTGGCAAACTCAAATGAACTTTTTGGCCAACTCAATATTTCTGAGGCTTATGAAACTCCTGGCTTAAAAATTCCCTCCATTCACCTTTCTCCTATCCCACTGGCCTTAGGTCTCTAAAAGAGAAAGTGTGCAGAAGTTTAAGTATAAAATCAAGACAAATGTGTTGGCTGCTTCCAGTTGCTAATAACATCTGTAGGCTTGGGGCAAAAGGCACTTCCCCATCTCCCAGTACTTAATGTCTTCAATGGAGAATCCTTGTTTTCCATTTTACCCTCTTGGTATTTTCTTAAAATTATTTTCCCTGGATAGTTTTTATCAAATATTTTTAATACTACAAGTATTATTCTGTTTAACTCAAATTCTTTTCTTGGAACAAAAATAATGATCATACCTCATCTTGGACATCAAGTTCTTCTTCAGTCATTTCTGCTTCCATTAATTCAAGAGGATCTTTACAGTCTTGGATGAGGGCGATCTTGACAAAGAGAACACAGAGACTATTTATTAGAGGCCTAATAGCATCAACCTACCTGGTTCTTCACTGAAAATGATTTGCAGCTTTGCTGGTGCCTCTCATCTAAAATCTGTATACTTCAAAATCCTTTTCATCTTTCTTGTTCTCTCATATTTCCCACTTAGAATTCCCCCTCCACCATTTTTTTCACATTCAAGATGAACTGGTATAGTTCATTGTCTAACCTCCTTCGTAGCTCACTTCCCCAACCTCTGAAGTGTACACTTAGCAAGTCATCCAGTCGGCCTAAATGATTCTGCAGTCAATGGTCATTTTCTTTCAATAACCAAGCTAAGGGCACTTAGTAAAGCATTGAGCATTCAGGGAACTCAAAGTGAAGGGCTCCTGACTGATGACAATAAACACTCTCAAGAAACCAACATCTATGGACCAAGTAGGTTATTCAGGAAAATTATGCTTTTTAGCCATAATGTGTAATGTAATCTACACACAGAGGAAACCAGTAACAATCTGGACTTTGTCTTACCCATAAAGCATATTCCCAAAGCAACTGTAAATGTATATCAAGGTAAGAGTAACATTTCATTTTAGCTACTTTTAATCTCACAAACAAATAAATCAATTCTCTTTACACTATCCTGCTTTGTTATTGTTACCTACAGGGAAAACAATAAGTCAATTTTCACTTATATCAAAAAAATTTTTTTCATTAATTTCTTTATTTGGCTACATTGGGTCTTAATTGTGGCTCGGCTGCTTCTCTCTAGTTGCAGCACAAGGACTCAGATGCCTCGCAGCATGCAGGAGCTTAGTTCCCCGACCAGGGATCAAACCCATATCCCCTGCATTAGAAGGTGGATAGCAACCCACTCCAGTAATCTCGCCTGGAAAATCCCACGGACAGAGGAGCCTGGGAGCCTGCAGTCCATGGGGTCACAAACAGTAGGACACAACTGAGTGACCTCACTTCACTTTCCCAACCTCTAAACACCTGGGAAGTCCTTAGACTTTTTAAAAAATGTTTACATGTTTTCAAAGCTGAGCATCTTGAGTGTAGCACCTTTTGTTTTTTTTTGGATTTAAGATCCACATCTTGGTGTTTAGAAGTAGTATTTTCTCCAGCAGCATTAAGTAGAACAATCTTTCTACTAACAATAGGTGAATTGAATAATGTACTATTGTTTTCTAAATTGGTTTCACTTCAAATAGTAACTTTCAATTTACACTAAGAATCTACTTATCCTACATTTATAAAAAAGAGAAGCAATTTAAAATATCATGGACTGTATTATCAGAATAATTATTATTGTTGTCATTTTTATAGACATTTGTTTTAGTTTCCCAAATTCATGGTGAGACGGTCCATGAGAGATGACATTCTTGTATTAAGCAGTAGGCCCAACCCAATGACACCCATCAGAATCCTCAACTGTCCTGGGTATTTTATAGGAAAAATGATAAAATAAGGAGGCCTGTGGGAAATCAGGGTCTATCCTGTTTTTCGGAGAATAAACTCTAGGATGATTTGTGGTTTTCAATTTTTTTTTTCTTTTTTCAAAGATCATTTATGACCTAATGAATCCTATTTAAAAACATTGATAGGAAGTTTCCTGGCAGTCCAGTAGTTAGGACTCCAGACTTCCAATGCAGGGGGCACAGGTTCAATCCCTGGTCAGGGAACTAAGATCTCACAGTCACACAGTGTGGCCAAAGGCAAAAAAAAAAACAAACTGATAAGAGTTTACAGACTGCTGAGAATTTAAATTGTATTTACATACAAATCACAGAAGATCCAAGATTTGGTGCCTTTTTTCTTAAAAGTCATTACAGCTACTGCCTGCTTTTATTAGTAAACCCCCACATTGTGGAACTAATAATGTACTAGTTTCTACCAGGTGCTTTCCTGTAAACTATCCCATTTAGTCTTCATATCTACCCAGCAAGGGGAATGTTTTACTCCCATTTTACTGAAGAGAAAACTGAGGCTCTGAAAAGTTAAGCAGATGGCTTAAAAATGTCACTGGGCTGGGATTCAAATTTAGGTTTGTGGAATTTTCTGCCATTTACAGAAATCATGGTAGTTTAGGAAAGCTATGTATGTAGAAAGTTTCAATGTTTACCGTTTCTAAAATGGAATCTTGAACCTTTTGAGATTTCACCTGGTTCTGAAGATGGAGGACAGCATCATGGACAGTCATAAAAAATATGTCCTTCCTGATGTTATCATTAAAGAAACCACATTTCTCCAGCGTTTCTATCAAATGATCTTCAAAAGAAAAAGATAATGTTTAATCTCTAGGAAAAGATATAACATCAACCAATGCTAAGTTTTGGAAACTCCTCCTTTTAAATCTTTTTTTTTTTTCTCATTTCCAGAATGTGATCCTGCTCTGTCAGTTTCTTTTCCAGTAGGACATGGAATGGTGACACCATAACTGGTTGTGGTATTAATAGATGGTCTTGTTTCCCAGCCATATCTCTTTTTCCAGGGAACCCATTCTCCTGCTGCTGTGAGTCTGGCTGCTAACAGTTCACAGCTATACCCGTCCCTGGAGAACATTCTTTGGCCAATGGGAACTGTCTCACCTGAAGAAGGCCTAGGAGGTTTCACCCCCTCCCTTGGGTGGCCTGCAGCCACAGCTGGACTGATCTGGAGGTAAAAGGGCCAGCCCCCTTGCCTCAAGAAAACATCTGATGCTCTTCTTGAGGTGTTCTCTCTGTGAAACCAAGCTAAGTAGATTCTGAAGCCATCTCTTTGTCTTCTCCTCCTGCCCTATCCTGCTCCCCTTAGTTCTTGATGAACTTTCCAGTGTACTGCCTTAATAAATCACTTGCGCTAGAATCCTTATCTCAGGCTCTGCTCCTAGAGAGCTCAGTCTAACCACTACTGTATTCCCATCCACCACTTGTGCATTGACAGACAGATTTGTGCCCTGCAAGTTCCTCTAGGTCTCAGGGCTTTGAGTCATTTCCAGCTCTGCTCTCCCCAGGGCAGTTTTTTCCCCCCTTGATCCTCCACTGCTAAGGGGACATAGGTCTCCAGGTGTTACCAGCTCTATGACACAAATTGGAAGCAATCTTTCTAGATTCAAAAAGACCTTCAGAGTAATTGTTCAATGGGTAGAGTTTGTGTTTGTGGCAATGATATTTTTGAAAATAGATAGTTGTGGTGATCTTTGGGACACACAAATCTTTTTGAATTAGTGTTTTTGTTTTTTTCCAGATATATACCAAGGAGTGGAATTGGTGGATCCAGTGGTTCTTCTATTTTCAGTTTTTTGAGAAACCTCCAAATTGTTTACCACAGTGGTGGTACCAATTTACATTCCCACCAACAATGTACCAGGGTGCCCTTTTCCTCTACATCCATACCAACATTTTTAACTGTAGACTTCATAATGACAGAAATTCTGACAGGTATGAAATGATATCTGATTGTTGTTTTGATTTGCATTTCTCTAACAATTAGCATTGTTGAGCATCTTTTCATGTGCCTGTTAGCCATCTGTATGTTTCTTTAGAAAAATGCCTGTTCAAGTCTTCTGCTTATTTTTTGATTGAATTATTTGGTTTTTTGATATTGAGTTGTATGAGCTGTCTGTATTTTTCCAAGTATTTTTTATTGAAGTACAGTTGATTTACAATGTTGTGTTAATTTCTGCTGTACAACAAAGTGATTCAGTATATATATATATATATATCTCACAGAATATTGAATATAGTTCCCTGTGCTATATAGTAAGACCTTATTATTTATCCATTCTATACATAGTAGTTTGCATCTGCTAACCCCAACTCCCAACCCATTTCTTCTCCACCCTTCATTTCCTTGGCAACCACAAATCTGTTCTCTATGTCTGTAAATCTGTTCTGTTTTGTAGATAGTTCCATTTGTGTCATATTTTAGATTCTGCGCAAGTGATATCATACGGTACTTCTCTTTCTATGACTTACTTCAATTAGTAGGATAATCTCTAAGTCCATCCATGTTGCTGCAAATAGCATTTTTCATTCTTTTTATGGCTGCATAGTATTCCATTGTAGTTATGTATTAATACCACATCTTCTTTATCCATTCATCTGTTGATGGACATTTAGTTTGCTTCCATGTCTTAGCTATTGTGAATAGTGCTGCTATGAACATACAGCTGCATGTATGTTTTTGAATTATAGTTTTGCCCAGGAGTGGGATTGCTGGATCATATGGCAACTCTGTTTTTAGTTTTTTGAGGTACCTCCATTCTGTTTTCCATAGTGGTTGTACCAACTTACATTCCCACCAACAGTCTAGGAACATTCCTTTTTCTCCACAGCCTTTCCAGCATTTGTTCTTTGTAGCTGTCAATATGCTTTGGATATTAACTCCTTGTTAATCACATAATATGCAAGTATTTGCAAGTATTTTCTCCCACTTAGAAGGTTGTCTTTTCATTTTGTTGATGGTTTCCTTTGCTACGCAAAAACTTTTAGGTTTAATTAGGTCTTGTTTTATTTAGAGTAGCATGGAAACAATCTAAGTGCCTGTCAACAGATGATTAGATTAAAAGATGTGGCATAAATGAAATGGAATATTATTCAGCTATAAAAAAGAATGAAATTCTGCCACTTGCAGTAATGTGGACAGACCTAACGAATACTATGTTTAGTGAAATAAGTCAGACAGAGAATGACAAATGCTTTATGATATCACTTATATGTGAAATCTTAAAAAAAAATACAAATGAATGTGTGCAAAACAGAAACAGATCCATAGATATAAAAAACAAACTTATGGGACTTCCCTGGTAGTCCGGTGGTTAGGATTTCACCTTCCAATGCAGGGGGTTCAGGTTTAATTCCTGGTCAGGGAGCTAAGATCCCAAATGCTTCATGGCCAAAAACCCAGAACATGAAACAACCGAAGCAATATTGTAACAAATTAATGAAGACTGTTTAAAATGGTCCACATCAAAAACAAAACAAAACAAAACAAAACAAAAGCAAAAAAACAAACTCCTGGTCACCAAAAGGGAGGTAGAAGGACAAATTAGGTGTAGGAGACTAATTGATACAAACTACTAAGTATAAAATGGATAATCAACAAGGAAATCCTGTATAGCACAGGGGATTATAGCCATTATCTTGTAATAACCTATAATGAATTATAATCTGAAAAAATACTAAATCACTATGCTTAGTAATCACTAATTACTTAGAACTAATATAATATTATAAACCAACTAAACTTCAATAAAAAAATAAAAGTAACAACAGCAACAACAAAAAATGTGCAGTAAATGTAAAATACACACTGGATCTCAAAGATGTAAACAGAAGCAAACAGTGCAAAATATCTCAGTAATAAATGTTATACTGACCAAAAAAAAAAAAGGAAAGAAAGCAAGAAAGGATATTGTGATTAATTGTACAACACGGTGAATGTATTTAATGCCACTGAATTAGTTGTATTCTCGACTAAAAGCACGAGTCTTATATCTCTTTTACCACAATAAAAATAGTTTTTGGAAAAAAAGGCCTTTGGACACTATATACTCACATTCCAAAGTAGGAGAAAAGGCTTAAGGAAAAGTCTTATAGATAGATATGTATATATGCAATTACCTTGAAGTGATGCAAAGTACACATTTACATCAATTCTTTGGAATTCTTTGACAATCTAAAAATTTAAAAAGGAGAATTTGTAACAATGAGTAACTTTACCTGCCCATAACTCAGTAGCATTCAACTACTTGCTCAGGAGAAACTTTGAACAATTTCATGGTGAATCAGGAGTTTGAAGAAAGTTCACTGTTGGAAATTGGAAAACCACAGAAGTTTCAACATACAGTGATGATGCTTAGGATGAAAAGACCGTGTCTCAAGAGGTGGCAACATCCAGTGCTCAATAGCCCAGCACTGGATAGCACACAAGTGCTTTGTAAATATTTGTGGAAAGAAGGAAAGAAGGGAGTACAGGAGGCTTCCTAATGCAACCTCTGCTGGTTGGAAAGAAGAGTTTGAGTTTATGTCTCTGAGTGGAAGAGATATGGCTGTGGATATGCGGCCACCAGACACCAAGTGTAAACACTGACCTAAAAACCAGGGCCTCTGTATTTTGACTGTAACAGTGTCAGTATAGTGATTGTGCTCTTACACTCTAGTTCTGCAAGATGTTACCACTGAAAGAAACTGGGTAAGTGGTGCTGAGGATCTCTCTGTATTATTTCTTATAGTTTTATGGGGATCTACAGTTATCTCAAAATAAAAAGTTTAATTAAAAGAATTAAGAATGAAGACCTATGGACAAAACAAAAGACCCATGGACAATAATAAAACAGAGCTTAAATTTTCTGGGGAAAAAAGATCAAGACCCCTATGCAAGTATAAAGTTTGGAGTTTTCAAAATTGTCACTTTAGCATTTGAAAGCAACAAGAAGCCCCAGCTAAGTTAAACCTCAGTTGAGGGTAGTTTGATATTATTACATAGACCTGATTGTCAGTGCCTTGAACCTGCCTGCTTTTCTGCCCAATCCTCTTGATACCTACATGAGCCTTCACTGAAACTTGACACCACCAGCACCCCCCCACCCCCCCTCGCTGGTCAAGTTGACATCCAATTAGTCTGTTTTGAGCACTTAATACAATTGTTATTTAAAAGATTATTTAACATTTGCCTTGCCCCCTAGATCGCTTAGTCCCAGGAGGGTAGGAACTATGGCTACTTCATAATTATTAATAGTTTCTGGTCCCCACCCAAGTGCTTGGCACACCTGAGGCATTGCACATCTATTTGTTAAAGGAATACTGAACTTTAGCTTGCTTACCTGCTTTCTGATAAGAACATTTCTGTCCCACATGCTCTTCATTCAGCTCTTTGACTGCCTAGATGTCTGGCCTACTTCCTACAGATCTAACCCTGATACTGCCTGGCTTTTCCAGTCTTACTGTGTTTCTCATTCTGCTGCTGTTCACATAACAGATAAAAACATACTTAAAATTTTGCCCATTTTTCTTTTCTTATTCCATGTCATATATATTCTCAGGAAAAGAAAACATAACAAACGGTAATACTTGCTGATGGGTGACCATGTGCCAGACACTCTTCATTCTTCTCACTTAATCCTCATAACAAGCCTATGAAGGAGGTACCATCACTATCCCCACATTCAGATGGAGAAACTGAGATACAGACAGATTAAGCGATTTGCTCACAGTCACACCTCTAATAAGTGGTAGAGCCAGGATTCAAGCCCAGGGAGTCCAGCTCTGCAATCCATGCTTTAATAAAACATTCCATTGCAAAAGCATTCCCCTAGAAAAATTACAGAACCCGTGCAATCAGTTACCCTTCTGCAAGACTAAGAAACCCACATCGTTTTACTATTACCAAAGCTCCAAATCTGTAATTCGAAATACCAGAACCTTACCACACGCAATGATCTCACTCCAACAACATCCAAGAAAGAGACGGCTCCACAGTCAAGTACGAGGCTATGGATTGGCACTTTAGGAACATTCACTTTGACTGGAAGCTCAGAGTTCCAATCCACTTGGATCTCTATTTCCTTGGTTGGGATATCAGGTTCTTCTGGATTTTCAATGTCTTCATCAGGCTCAAAAGCATTATTTGATGAACCAGCACCACTTATAATGCCATTCTAAACAAAGAAAGCATTGCCAACTTAATTACCAGTTAACTGGGATGTCTTTCAACAATTAATCTAAAATGACTTAACAGTCCTACAAACTGTTCCTTGGTAAGCAAAACATCTAGAGAATGAACTCTTATGGAATAAGATTTACCTCAGCCCAAATTTTGATGTTCTCTAGGAAGAGAAATAGAGGGCAGTGGAGCCAGAAAATGCTTGATTTCTGGAAGATGGTGGAACTTAGGCAAGAGATATATTGGCAGGAAAGTTTGAATAAAAGGTAATATCATAGCTCTAAAAGTCTATGAACCTGTAACTGTCTTCTTTTTTTTTTTTTTTTTGTAACTGTCTTCTATTGTGAATAATTTTCTGGTATTGAATTAGCACTTGTTTTGTTCCGTTCAGTAAAAATAAGGTTTATTTCATGAAAGAGGAAGATAAATCATGCCCTGTGTTTCCAAGGAGCTCTGTTGATGTCATTTTATTCTTTCCCTTTCTCTCTCTTTTTTTTTTCCCCTTTCTCTCTAGCCTAAAAGAACAACTCAGCTGTTCTCTGACATACATGTGTCATCTGCCTGTACACATCTGGGTACCAAAGAGGGTACATTTAATTTTAGACAATCTAACTGCTTTAATGTCATCTGAGAAGTGAGAGAATTTCAGAGAGGGAGTGGAAAGGATGATGTTGCCTTACCTTTGTTGCTCTTAACTGCCCTTTCTTGATGAGCTTTTGTATTTTTCTCAGTGCTTTCAGCCTCTTATTATATACTCTAATGGCATCAAATCCAACCTTAGGAAATAAATGTTAAGTTAGTTAGAACATTTGGTTTCTAAAGATCATTAATGACTTTTTATCTGGAAAGCCTATTTCTCAAGCAGTATTACTCCCTTCTATATCCTGCCAAAAAAGAAATTTTGAGGTCTGATGGAGGTCTCCACTACCAGGCCACCCTAACCCACCTACCCAGAGACTCAGGGAAAGTGAAAGTGAAGTCGCTCAGTCGTGTCCGACTCTTAGGGACCCCATGGACTGTAGCCTACCAGGCTCCTCCGTCCATGGGATTTTCCAGGCAAGAGTACTGGAGTGGGTTGCCATTTCCTTCTCCAGAGACTCAGGAAAGGTGGTAGCATATTGAAGACTCTAAGACTGTAAAAAAAAAAAAAAAAACCAGCGAAGAATAACCTTTTTAGCTTTAAGCCTTAACAAATTTCCTTAACATAACAAAGCCCTCTTGTTGCAAAATTTAGGAACATTCCTTTGAACCTTAGGAAAACACTGATCTAGATAGAGGTAAATTCCACCTTCAAAGCATAGCATAGAATTCAAGACCAGAATTCCCTGCTCATATAACCCACTTAGACTTTTTACCCTTTATTCCAACTGCCCCTCACCCCTTACCCAATATACACTCCCACATTTTCCTCTCAGCTCACATAGTTCCCAAGCCCCTGCATTAATCTCCTTCCTTCTGCCCAACTGCCATGCAAAGCCTGAGCAGTCCACTGACATGGATCGCTCCCTTCCGTGAAATCTTAACACTTACTGTCTACATTTCTTATTTGGAACTTACTCAGATTCTGCCTCAAGACATCTCCTGTTGTTTTGTCCAGCACAATTATTGCTACCTGAATTTTAACATATGTGTTATTATTGTTTTTTTCCTGTTCCCAAATATTAATAGATTAAAAGTTATTTGAGGGCAAGAGTGTTATAATTATTAATGCCCTGTACAAAGGGAATGGGGCATAGGGCCAAATAAATACCTGTAAAATGAATGAAGTCTCAAAGGTGATAAGAAACCAAATTTCTAGGGATAAAATACTTACTGTGGACTTGATACATTTTTTTAAACCATCAACGTTGCCATAAAAAATAGGACTAGAAAATCTCAGAATCTTCACACCTTCAAGTTCTTCAATCTAGCATTTAAAAAAAAAAATTGAGTTTAAATCATTTAACTATTCAGTTAAGCTTTTGGCTATTCAGCTAGAAGCTGAGTTAGAATTGCTCCAAGGAGCTAGGCAGTGGCACTCAACTTTCCTTGAATAGGGCCTAGATCGCAGTTGGGAAACAGAGTTACACAAATTCCTGAACTTCCACAGTTCCAGAGAAGGTCAGAATAGAAACGGTCTTAGAAAGCAATTATTCAGCCCTCTAATTTCTAGATGAATAAACTGAGACTCCAAAACACAGATATTGTATGTCCCTGTAATCCCACTCCTGGGCACGGATCCAGAGAAAAACATGATCCAAAAACGGACATGCACCCCAGTATTCATTGCAGTACTGTTTACAACAGTCAAGACATGGAAGCAACCTAAATGTCCATCGACAGAGAACGTCCATCGACAAAGAAGATGTAGCACATATATACAATGAAATATTACTCAGGCATAAAAAGATTGAGATAATGCCATTTGTAGCAACACGGATGGACTTAAAGAGTGTTATATTATGAGTGAAGTCAGTCAGAGAGGAGAAATATCCTATGACATCTCTTATATGTGGAATCTAAACAGAAGTGATACAAATGAACTTACAAAACAGAAACAGACTCACAGACTGAGAATGAGCTTATGGTTGTTGGTGTGGGGAAAGAATGGAGGGGGTAGGGATAGTTAAGGAGTTTGGGATGGGCATGTACACACTGCTATATTTTAAATAGATAACCAGAATTCCATAGCCCATGGAACTCTGCTCAATGTTACATGGCAGCCTGGATAGGAGAGGTATTTGGGGGAGAATATATACATGTGTGTGTGTGGCTGAATCTCTTTGCTGTTCACCTGAAACCATCACAACATTGTTTGTCAATCGGCTATATCCCAATACAAAATAAAAAGTTAAAAAAAAAAGGAAGCAGGCTCCAAATTGTCATGTGAATTGCCTCAAGTTCATATGACTGGCCCTCTCTCCATCTCCCCAACTATTTTAAAATAGTGAGGGGGAAAAAAGGAGCAAAATCTAAGGGACTTGCAGGAAATAAAGTCTATTATGTCATTGGCTTGTTCTTACCCTGACACACAGTGGCCAGACGAAAAGTGAACCTCACAGAATCATGGACCTTTCTACCCTTTAGGAATCATAGCAGTTTTCACCCAGCCCCTTCAGATGAGAAAACTTGAGGCCCCACAAGGCTGACTGACTTGGGCAAGGTCTCCACAAGTTAGAGCCTAGAACTCAGAACCCCCAACTCCCCAAGGGTTCCCTGCCTCAGAGCATCATAGAATCATTTCTAGCTCTTGACAGCACCTGGCTCAACACAACTGCCAAAGATTGTGAAAATAAACGAAGTAGCAGCTACTGGAATTTTAGATTCAGTATCTAATATCTAAAAAAAAAATTTTTTTTTCTTTGCTTTTAGAAACTATTTGTTGCTAAAATCCATGTTTTCTTTACTTTGTTGTTTCTTTCTTTATTTTCTTTCATGGCAGGTCTACTTTCCACATGAGAAATTTTTTTAATTGAGATAAAACTGGTATGTAACACTATATTAGTTTTGTATATGCAACATGATAATTCAATACTCATATACACCACAAAATGATCACCACAATAAATACCCTCTTCACCCATTTCACCAAACCTCCAACCCCCTTCCCCTCTGGTAATCACAAATCTGTCCTTTGTATCTGTGATTTTTGTTTCATTTTGTTTTTATTCATTTGTGTTGTTTTTTAGAATCTACACCTCTAATGGTATTTGTCTTTCTCTGTCTTATTTCACTTTTCATAATAACCTTAAGATCCATCCATGTGGTTACAAATGGTAAGATTTTCTTTTTTATCACTGATTAGTATTCGTGTGTGTGTGTGCCCACGTGCGTATGCATGCTCATTTCTTTATCCATTCATCTATCAGTGGACATTTAAGTTCTTTTCATATCTTGGCTATTGTAAATAATGCTGCAGTGATCATAGGAGTGCATACGTCTTTCTGAGTTAGTGTTTTCATTTTCCTCTGGTGGAATAGGTGATAGTTCTATTTTTAATGTTTTGAGGAATCTCCATATTGTTTTCCCTAATGCCTACACTAATTTACATTCCCACCAACAGTGTGTGAGGGTTCAGTTTTCTCCATACTCTTTCTGACACTTCTTATTTCTTGTTTTTTGTTAATAGCTATCTGACAGGTGTGAAGGAAAATCTCATTGTGGCTTTGATTTGCATTTCTCTGATAATTAGTGACACTGAACATTTTTTCATGTGCCTGTTGGCCATCAGTATATCTTCTTTGGGAAAATGTCTTATTAGAGCCTCTGGCTATTTTTAATTGAACTGTTTGGGTTTTTTGCTATTGAGTTGTTTGAGTTCTTCATATATTTTGGATATTAACCCATTATAAGATACATATTTTCAGTTATTTCCTTCTATCCAGTTTGTTGCCTTTTCATTTTGTTGATAGTTTCCTTTGCACAGAAAAGCTATTTAGTATGACATAGTCCCACTTTTGCTGCCTTTGCTTTTGGATTCAGATCCAAAAATTTAACACCAAGACTAATGTAGTTTTCTTCTAGTTTTATGGTTTCAGGTCTTATATTCAAGTCTTTAATCCATTTTGAGTTCATTTTTATATATTATACAAGATAGTGGTCCAGTTTCATTCTTTTGCATATGGCTGTTCAGTATCCCTAACATCACTGACTTCTGCTTTATTGACTATGTCAAAGTCTTTGACTGTGTGGACCACAACAAACTCTGGAAAATTCTTAAAGAGATGGGAATGTCGGACCACCTAACCTGCCTCTTGTGAAATCCGTATGCAGGTCAGGAAGCAACAGTTAGAACTGGACATGGAACAACAGACTGGTTCCAAATAGGAAAAGGAGTACATCAAGGCTGTATATTGTCACCCTGCTTATTTAACTTATATGCAGAGTACATCATGAGAAACGCTGGACTGGAAGAAGCACAAGCTGGAATCAAGATTGCCAGGAGAAATATCAATAACCTCAGATATGCAGATGACACCACCCTTATGGCAGAAAGTGAAGAGGAACTAAAAAGCCTCTTGACGAAAGTGAAAGAGGAGAGTGAACAAGTTGGCTTAAAGCTCAACATTCAGAAAACTAAGATCATGGCATCTGGTCCCATCACTTCATGGCAAAGAGATGAGGAAATAGTGGAAACAGGGACAGACTTTATTTTGGAGGGCTCCAAAATCACTGCAGATGGTGACTGCAGCCATGGAATTAAAAGACGCTTGCTCCTTGGAGGAAACTTATGACCAACCTAGACAGCATATTAAAAAGCAGAGACATTACTTTGCCAACAAAGGTCCATCTAGTCAAAGCTATGGTTTTTCCAGTAGTCATGTATGAATGTGAGAGTTGGACTATAAAGAAAGCTGAGTGCTGAGAACTGATGCTTTTGAACTGTGGTGTTGGAGCAGACTCCTGAGGGTCCCTTGGCCTGCAAGGAGATCCAACCAGTCCATCCTAAAGAAATCAGTCCTGAATATTCATCGGAAGGACTGATGTTGAAGGTGAAACTTCAATACTTTGGCCACCTGATGAGAAGAGCTGACTCATTTGAAAAGACCCTGATGCTGGGAAAGATTGAAGGTGGGAGGAGAAGGGGACAACAGAGGATGAGATAATTGGATGGCATCACTGACTCAATAGACATGAGTTTGAGTAAACTCCGGGAATTGGTGATGGACAGGGAGGCCTGGTGAGCTGCAGTCCATGGAGTCGCAAAGAGTCAGACATGACTGAGCAACTGAACTGACTGGACTGAACATCAATGATTGAAGAGACTATCTTTTTTCCATTGTATATTCTTATTATAAGCTGTCTATGCATATGTTAATTTATTTCTGGGCTCTCTATTTATTATATTCCATTGATCTATATGTATTTTGATGCTAATAGCATACTGTTTTGATTATAATAACTTTGGAGTAGAAGGGGAAATATTTATATGATCTGAATGAAACCAGAGTATATGACAATAGCTTTGTGGCAGAGCTTGAAATCAGGGAGTATTATGTCTGTTGCTTAGTTCTTTGTTGAGATTGCTTTGGCTACTCAGGGTCTTTTGTGAGTCCATAGAAATTTTACAGTTATTTGTTGGGCTTTTGTTTCTAAATATATACCTGGTTAATCTACCTTTACTATATTTGCCTTTACCAGTGAGTTTTTTACTTTTATATGTTTTCTTGTTGCTAGTAAGTAGCTGTAGATTGGGTGTGCCCTTAGTGGGAGGGGAGTTCAGAATCTTCCTGCTCCAGAATCCATCTTGGACTACCCCTTTGAATTTTCTTTCTCTGCTTTTTCACCTTTGTTCCCTCTGGTCACTAAGCAATCTTTTTTTTTTTTTTTGCAGGGAATATAAGCCCATCAATGGAATGTTCATTTTCTTCATTTTTGATTTTCTATATTATGTATTATTTCTTCCAGTGCCAAGAATAAAGATGTCAAATAAGGTTCTTTGTGACAGAGAACATGATTTCACAGGGATTTCAGACAATTTCATAGAGGATAATGATAACATAGAGAAATAGAAATCTTTTTCTTCTTGCTGCTTAAAAAATTTTTTTTATGTCATGGCTTTCAGCCCTATCACTGTAATGTTTCTAGGTATGGATTTTTATGTGTACATTAACTGGGTTCAGTGGGCATTCTGGATTTGTACATATTTTTCTTCTAATTTGGGAACATTTTGATACTTATTCAAATATTTTATGTGTTTTTTTCTCTTCTCCTTTTTTGGGACTGCTGTTACTCATATGTTGATATATTTTATTTTGTCCTCAAAGTCTCTGAGGCTCTGTCTTTTTAAAGTTATAACTGACATATTAGTTTCATATGTTCACATTGTACATAATATGTACAACCTGATATTTGTATATATTGCAAAATGATCACCACTATAAGTTTGGTTAACATCTGTCACAATATGTAGTTACAAAATTTTTTGTGTAATAAGGACTTTTTAAGATCTACTCTCTTAGCAACTTTGAGACATGCTGTATAGTATTATTAACTTTGGTTGCCATACTGTATATTACATCCCCATGGCTTATTTTATACCTGGAACTTTGTGTCTTTTGACCCCATTCACTCAGAGAAATAGAATTTTGATTCAACTTTTGGGAATAATTGAATTGCCTGTTTTAAAAAAAAATACCTCTTAACAGTGGTCTGACATGAAAATGACATCTTAACTGGCATGAACAAAATTCATATCAGAGAGCTTCCCTGGGGGCTCAGACACTAAGGAATCCACCTGCAAAGAGGGAGACCTGGGTTCAACCCCTGGGTGGGGAAGATCCCCTGGAGGAGGGTATGGCAACCCACGCCAATATTCTTACCTGGAGAATCCCCATGGACAGAGGAGCCTAGCAGGCTGCAGTCCATGGGGTCACAAAGGGTTGGACACAGCTGAGCAACTAAGGACACACAGGATATCAGAGGGCACACTGGAACAGAAGTTTTCCTAACACGCCCACTATACCTGTGGGCTTTCCCAACAGAAGTAGCCTCCCTTTTGGGCTACCTTATCCCTAACACACTAGAAGAGAAATATGCAACCTCTGAAAATCCAGCTTAGCAAACCCAAGTCCAGCCAGTGGCTCCCAAGGGCACTTACATTTTTGTAATTATTGGTGCTTTTGTAGATGTCTGTGCTAGGGATACTTCCAAGGCTGTTCCAAGATGGACTAAAAGAAGAAAAATTGAGGTCAGGATTTTTTGGAACAGGCATATTTTGGAATAAAATGTTAGAAAAAAATGACAGATTCTAAAGAGCCCATAATTTGGATGTCTTGGGACTCTGTCTTTATTGCAGATGACATTTTCTGGTAGCTAACTCTGAAGTGAACAGCTGGTATTTGTGTAAGCCTGGGGGTAAAAAAGGAAGTGTGCCTCTTTTCCAATGCCTGCAAGAAGTAATGAGCATCATACTTTCATATGTGTAGCACTTTATAGGATAAGCAAAGAGCTTTCACACATGTTAAATCTTATTTGAGCCCTGACTGATCAACAGTATTATCTTCATTTTTAAGGGTGAGTAAACTGAGGTTTAGAGAAGTTCAAAAAGGCTCTGGGGGGAAGAGAAGCACAGCCTCTATCTTTAACCTGTGGGTCTTCATGGCCTGGCACAATGCCTAGAACTACCTTGTGAGTTATAGCAACTTTCTGAAGTATGGAAAGTCTGCAGTGATCCAATTAGTCTCATTTCATAGAAATAGGAGCCTGGGAGGACCAGATTGTTGATTTCCTGTTCCTGATGCAATCACATAAATTCCAGGATTCCTCAACTGTGACTAGGAACATATGCTAAATACTATGCCTGAAGAAAGAATGTCTGTTTGGGGTGCTCTCAGCAATGTGCTCTCTGGACCTGGCTTATAATTATTGGAAATTAAATCCTGGGGAGGATACTGCTTTTGGTTGGCTCAAAGCCTCATTACCAAATCTGCAGGTAAAGGGTTTCACCCATTTCTCCTTGGCTTACTATGCCATGCTGATTTTCAACTTAAAGCTCAGAAACTGTAGTCTTTCTCTAAAAACTCTTCTCCCCCTCAATCACACACAAGTCACAGTAAATACAGAGGCAGCCAGAGCGCAGAAGACATCATCTTCCAAGGAGAGTTTCTGGGGTGTTTCCCAGAAGAAAACTGGGTGTTTTGGGAGCTTGAGAAGTCTTTCAGGCCCCTGGGCAACCACTTAAGGGTGCTGGGATGGTAAACACAAGCCTTTGGGTAGGATCCAGCATGCCAGGGGAGGGAAGGAGAATTGCTTGGTGGAAAGGGAAAGGTGGACCTAGGCTAAGCTATAGACAGCTGTATGTGTTAGGCTTACCCAGGTTTTTCATTCCTTCATGGCCCAAGTGCAGGCCAAGAAGGAGCCAGAAGTCTGGGAAGATAGCAGAGGCTTTAAGAGATGCTCTCTTCGACTCTCTGTTCAGAAAATGCCAGAGACATAGAAAGGTACCTACCGAAGGCCTCTCAAGAGTCCGAACAAAACAAACACACCTCCAAGCTGCCTCACATTGTTTTCCATTATTTTGAACTTTGTCTCTGTTGCTTTCACTCTCTGGATGACCTGATTGTATCTATTTTACATTATTGGTATGGCTTATTAGGTACATACCTTATTTGGCAGATTTGAATGAATTTTGGCTACAATCAACTGTCTTAAAGCTTCCTATTCTGGGTTATTACATAACTCCTGGGTTACTAGCTTCAAAAGAAAATGAGCCGTAATATATTTAGCAGCTATCTGGGCCCAAGACTTGGGTCCTCAATGTCTCTTAGACTTCATCTCATTAAACTACACAGCAACCTCAGTCTTTTGCTGATCATGTACCTTTTAGTCTTACCATGACTTGGAGGTGAACAAGGCAGTAGAGCCTGTGAGTAAGTGCATAGATTTTGGGGTGGGATACATCTGGGTTGAAATGCTGGCTCTGCAACATACTAGCTGTGTAATCTTAGGTAAGGTTCTTAACCTACTGAGTTTCAATTATCTTACCTATCAAATGAGAATAATAAAACATATTCACAGGATTTTTTGAAGACTAATTATGATAATGTTTAATTTGTAGAAGCACTAATAAATAGTAACTACTGTGAACGGGAGTAGTTTTATTGTACTTATCAAAATTGTATAAGAAATTTCAGGGTGTGTTGTCCTGTTTATAGATAACTTGGATCTTATATTACTCACAATTGAACTCTCAGGACCACAGTGAGAAATCCAAATACAAGGCCAGCTAGTAAACCGAGGTCCAATCCCAGAATGATGGATGCTATGCACGTAAATACCCAGATAACCTAGGAAAACATGAAAATGAAAAATGCTAATTCATCGGGTACCATGAGGTGAGTGACTACCTGTAAAAATAATAAGATCAATTGTCCATGAACAAATTACAGCTTTGTAAAATATTCTGACGTCTTTACATATTTTAAGTGGAAATTGGCCTTCCCAATACAGGCCAACTGTCCCATTAAAATATTTTTAGATTTAATTTTTGAATAGGTGATATATTGTTGTTTTAGTCACTGAGTCATGTCCACCTCTTTGCGACCCCATTGACTGTAGCCCGCCGGGTTCCTCTGTCCATGGAATTCCCCAGGAAAGAATACTAGAGTGGGTTGCCATTTCCTCCTCCAGGGGATCTTCACCACCCAGGGATCAAACCCTCGTTTCCTGCATTGGCAGGCATATTCTTTTACCACCGAGCCACCAGGGAAACCCTGATATCTATTAACATAGTTTAAAATAAAATTGGTATTAAAAAGGTATGCAGAGGCACTTCCCTGGAGGTCCAGTGGGTAAGACTCCACACACCCACTGCGGGGCTCTCAGGTTTAATTCTGGTCCGGGAACTAAGATCCGGCAAGCAACATGGTGTGACCAAAAAGGTGTGCAGTGAAAAATCTCAGTTGCAACCCTCTCCTTCCTCCATTCATTCCCACCCTCTTTTCTCTCTTACATCCTCCTTTATTTCTGTGTGTGTGTGTGTGTGTGTGTGTGCACAGGTGCACATTTTTCACCAGCATTTTTTTTTTTTTTTTTGGCAAATACCACTGCAAAACATAGATTATTTTCCCTTCTTTTAGTGTGTTATACACACTCTTCCATTTTGCACCAGTCTCTTTTTACTTAACAGTTTGTCTTGGAGATCTTTCCATGCAGATATATAGGGAATTTTTTCCCATTCTTTTTATCTGTTCTGGTTTAAATTACAGCAGAACTCTGAAGGGTTTAGCTTCTTCTTCTTCTTCTTTGTTTTTACAATCCCTCAGAAGAGTTGTAAAGATTACTTTAATCAAAATTATAATCAACATGGGGTTTTGCATTTTGTTTCTGCTTTGTGTTTTGTTTTATTTGTCCTTCTAGATTAGAGGGTTTTGTTTTTTTTTTAATTTGTTCTTTGGCTTTAGAAGGCCAGCAGTATATGAAGGAGCTCATACAGGATTCTTGTATAAAATTGATCTTCCCAGAGACATAGGACCTTCACAAATTGTAGCTCATGTGGAAGACTTCACAGTTTTGGCTTATCCACAAAATTCTAATTTCTGCTCTGCTTCCCAAAATGCAAGTAAGACTCAGGAGATAAGGGGACATAATAATATGGCAAGAAGCACATAAGTAATCCCTATTTCAGAAAAAAAAAAAAGGATGGCAAGCAACTTACAGCATCAGTCTTATTCTGCCTCCACAGACGAGGAACGTCACACACCTGCATAAACATCCCCTTCAGGTTGGCAATTACAACAGCTGCCAAGACTGACTGCCAGGAGAGATGGAGAAGTCCGGGTTATTCAGGGGAATGGTTTGCCATGTGATGACTTTTAAATCCCCTGCTATTTCTTGGGTAGCAGAGCAGTGAAGGGAAAGTAAGCAATCGGTGTGACAAGAAGCAAGATTATACCTTCTGCAGGGGTTCCAGCAACTTCCCCAGGGCAACGATGGCGATCATCACGACCCCAGCTGAGATGATGCCGGCAACCTGAAAGACACACACATCTCCCACAGTCAGGGTCTGTGCTTCCCACTCTGAATGTGTGTTTGCTGCACGCATGTGTGCAAGAGCCTGTTCACGGGCACACAACGCTCCCCACCTCCCTCCTTCTGCTCAGTCCTGTTGACAGAAATAAGAATTATTGGCTCTACTAAATACATTTAGTAGCTATGACAGAGAAATTAAAAGAAAATGTGGGGGCTAGGTCTGCTAGAGTAAAGCCAGTTTGGCTTGATTGCACTTGGATACATGACAGACCTCTATTTTTCTGGTGTCAATTTAAGAGGTCAATCTTCCAGTCATTTGTCATTCCAGGAAACCCAGCCCATCCTTGTTCCTGGACAACAAATCCTTGAAGCATTCTTGGGAAATAACTTCTCATAGCACATAACTGATTCTTCTGCATTATGGAATCGGCAACCTGATAACGACTCTAATAACACTTTGCAGGCACAGTTGTCATGATAATCTCTAAGAAAATAAATTCACCAGTCCTGCAGATTAAAAAACACCACATGAGCCTGTTGAGAGGTAGGACCACATCACCAGCATCCTCCTACAGCAGCCCGTGTGACGGGGCCAGTAGCAGGAGTAAAGGAAGCTTCAGAAACTTTACCTTCACTGGCAGAAAAGCTCTCCCAAGATTCACAAATAGCTAGGACAGAAGCTGAGGGGGTGGGGACTATGCTGTGGTGTGATTAGATGACCAGTGGATTCTCTGCTGAGACAGCTGGGGCCTGGCCAAGGTGAAGCCTAGAAACTCTAAAACGAAGGAGAGGAGAGAGGGAGCCAGAAGCCAAACGAGCAGAGAGGAAGCAGTAGAGAAGGTTGTATTGGGCCCTGGTAGTGCCTAATGCAAGATGTTTGCATTCAAGGAGACACATAAAGCCAATACAAATAAAAATCCAAAAATGTAAGGAAATGCAATAGCCACACTCATCCACTCCATCTGGCAAATTGATCAGAGGATAGCTAGGCTAGCCTGAGGCCATGTTATGTATATGATATACTGAAAAGTCTGTTCTGTCCATCCAGATCCCCATTTCTAGGTAATCTGTATCTTGTAACGCCACACATCCAGGTTCCCAGTATCTTAGTGAGATTTCCCCCTTCTCCTATCTAAGCAGAGAATCCGGTATCCTTCCTTCATCCTTCCCTCCTTTCTTTCCTTCCTTTAGTTCTGTGGAATTACTTAACCAATATTTATTGTCTGTCATGAGCCACTTGCATTTCACTGTGGATGTAGGGCTCTGTGGATTGGAGAAAGAGATGGAGATTTGGAAACAGGGACCAAAGCCAGCTGCCCAACTCATGCCAGGAGGATGGCCACCTACTCACCAAGGATAGGGAATAATTAGCCCTCAACTATGGGGGCCAAGACTAATTTTGGTTACTATTTTTAAAATCTGCAGGGGGGGCCCACTACCTGTACTTAATTTATAAGGGAAAATTACTTATTTGGCAGGAAATGCTATATATTTTGTATCTTTGAGCGGATTCAGTTGCTAGACAATTCTTCTGTTAACTGAGAGGATAACCAGGCTAGAGAATAGTTTGACATCATAATTACTTTTTTATGAATCATTAGGAGCCAGATGGGGATGAGAGAAAGCACAGGTTGCCAATGTTGAGCATCTATAGATGTGCTGAAAACAGTTGATAGTATCCACTGACACTCATGATTCCATCCATTCAGTAAATATATGTTTCTTATCTGTCAGGTACAATGTATGTGTCATAGGTACTAAGGCATTATTCTTACCTTGAGAACTTAATGACTGGAACAATCAACAGTCAACATATATGTGCCAGAATTTTAGAAACATTTGCTTATTTAATCTATACGGTGTCCCTGTGAGGTGGATACAATGATTACCCCCCATTGCATAGATTCTGAAACTGAGGCTCCAACATGAAAACTCCAGGAAAAGTCAAACAACAAGGGAAGACTTGCCAGTTTAGTTGGTCATTAGTTCCTGGATTTTAGTCCAGACACTTAGACTTTTAACCCCAGAACTTAGTATACATTTCAGTAATTAAATACCAAGTGATTTCTGTGCTTGTTTCATTCTTCAGTACTAAAATCCTGGCATCCTTCATTCCTAAATATAATACATGCCAGTGTGTGGCAGGGGGTATTAGCTTACCAGAACACCATTATCCCCAAACCTTCTGCCAAGGGATCACTTTGCATGGGCATTCTTGGGGGGAAGGGAGAGGGGAGAGGGCTGTCCCCATTTGAGCTTGGAGTTAGCAGACAGTGAACATCAGCTCTTGGGGATCTGCCTGCACCCACTTATAGCCATGTGCCTTGGGGAGCTTGTCAAGTCTCCATGTCCAGTGGAAGCCACAGAAAACTTCACTGCTAGCTTTGGCGATCACCTCCAACCTATTCCCCTTACCACAGATCTCTGATTATGCTTCCTACTTGAGGCTGTATTGTTTTATTTGTTGTCTCAGAGCTAGAAATGTTTTCAGAAAAATGGAGAAGGAAACAGTCTTAAATAGAGTAATTCTGAAAATTAAAAGTAAATGTTTGTTCATCGGGAGCCAAGAAATTGGAGAAGGCCAATTCCTCTGACTCTGTCACAAAGATCTGTTATGAATGGGAAAGGAGCATCATGAGCATCTTGGAGACAATTCAAACTCTCCCTGAGCCACTCACTGTTGGAGTCATTCATTTTCTCAGTTACTCTCTTTTTTACATTTATTTGCATCTCTACCTGGAAAAAAATCCTATTTGAAGACTATGTGTGCTAAACTATTTACTTTGAATTGTTGCTCCTCATAGTCTCAAAATACTATTTACTCTTAAATAATAGTTCTTTCTGTGTTAGGAGGAGAAAACTCCCCAGGCATAACAGAAACACAATCCCTGAGCCTGCCCCTCACCCCCATCCATTTGGTTCGGCATAGCTGACTCATGTCCTGCTGAAAAGGATGGCCTGAGTACAGATCCTGAGCTATCTGGCCTAGTGAAGGAGGAGTTTTCCAGAGATTAACTGGGATGCTGGTTTGAGGGAAGGCCACAACTTAAAATCACAGTTAAAGGCAAGATCAAACCCACATTCAGAACTTCAAGAACAAAAGTCTTTCTCAGGAAGAAATGGCAAAGTGTTTAACAGAAATATGCTTAGCTAGCAAACCGTGGTTCTGTCGGACGCAAGGCCTCTGGAGGAAGCTCCTGATCCTTGGTAAAGGAAATGTAAATAAACAGCTTTTCCTTTTCCTGAAAAGAGAATAACTCACTAAGCCACAAAGAGATTTTACTAGGCCTTCTCTATTCCCAGATAACAAATAGAAAAAAATCAGCACCTTCATTATCAACTGTTATCATCCCTGCAAAAGCAAGTAAGTGGCGCTATCTGCCAGCTGGGCAACGACACAAAAAGGTTTGAGACTTACTGCATCATAAAACTATAAAGAGTGGAGAAAGAAATGGCAACCCACTCCAGTATTCTTGCCTGGGATAATCCCATGGACAGAGAAGCCTGGTGGGCTACAGTCCATGGGGGTCACAAAGAGTAGAACACAGTGAGCACGCATGCTCTCTCTCTCTGCTAGTACGCAGAAAGTAGTACAGAGGTGTTGGTGAATAAAAATGAATAAGCATGATCTGCCTGATCTAGTGCCTGGCAGGCACAGCTTAATAAACCATACTAAACCAAAAAAAAACCCAAAACTATAAAGAGAGGTTTACAGGGAGGGGGTAGATCATCGTCACAGAGATGGAGAGGTCCCAGATGGAATCAGAATGGGATGTGCAAGTTTTACTTTTCTCAAAGGCTAATCATACTGAGTTCTTGTGCAAGCCTTTCTGAGCCACCATTCCCCTGATTCATTCTTTACATCATTCTAGATGGATATGACCACACCGCCGCCCCATACCTGTGTCTTTCCCCCAGTACTCTCCTGGACAGCGGTGCGGGACAGGGCAGTGGTAGCCACAAAGCAAGAGAATAATCCAGAGAAGATGTTGCTGATTCCAAAGGCGATGAATTCCTGAGAGAGAGAGAATGAATGGTAGTGATGCTACAAATTAAATCTTTGGAAGACTCTCGTCAAGCAAAGAGCATTAAGAAAGCAAACTCCCAAGCCCAGCCTGCCTGAGAGTCCCAGTTTAATTCTTACCATTAAAGGTGCTTGGAGACCTTGAAAGACACGTGGAATCTGGGCTCCATAAAGCCTAAGAGAGGCTTCACTGCTCTCAACTGTTCTGAAAGATTGACTTATCTTTTGCTGAAATGCTTTATCTTACTTCCTGGTGAGTGGCCTATCTGTAACTCTCACATAAAATTTTTTTTCTGAGGTTGGATATTTGCTAGGAAGTATATTATGACTTGAAGAATGATTATTCTGATGGCTAATCATTTAATTACTGTAATTGCTATGCTGTGTTTATAGATACAAACCAGGCTTGCAGATTTGCAAGCAGTGGAAAATCAGCGTGGTAATGGATCAGATGCTACAAAACCCATCTTGTATCTGTTACTGGTATCCCCTGCTTTTCAAAAGTTTGCTTTACACCACTTGGCTTTTATAAAAGACTCATCTAAGTTAGTTACCTGTTTTTGCTAACACAAAGAAATCTCAAGAGAATTTTTGCTATTATAAAAAAGGGCAAAAAATGTTTGTTTTTGCAGCAACCCCTAATAGAGGCAGCATGCTCCCCAAGCAGAGAGAGTGGCAGCACCACGCTCCTTCCTGGGGAAACTACACTCAGCATCTCAGCATCTCAGCATCTCAGCATGGAGCTGCCATTGCTCTGAACTGTGTTTGTAAGCACCTGTTGATCTCAGTGTATTTTGTGCATCTGTTTGCAAGATGTGTCTTAAGGTAACTGTTTCTTAACTGTACTGCCATTTCATCTTAAGAAGATTTTCATAGGAACTCTCTACTTTTGGATATGGGGGAAACCTGCAATTAATTGCACAATGAACTACCTCAGTTTAAAGTGGTCACAACTATTATCATTGATGTTTGTGGTAATCTTTTGCCATATTATAGCTGCCTTTAAAAAAATTACCAAGAAAAATATTGTTTTTAATTACCAGGAGATACTAGATTACATGAAGAATTCTTATTCCAACTTGCTTCTAATATGTTAAGCTTATGTTATGATCTAACTGAATTAACTTTTTAAAAATTAGGATTACTTTGACTTTTTTCTTAAAAGGTAAAGTGATGCATACAGCACAGGGAATATAGCCAATTATTTTCTAAGAACCATAAATGGAGTATAACCTTTAAAGCTTGTGAATTGCTATGTTGCATACCTGAAACTTATATAATATAGTACATCAACTATACCTCAATTAAAAAGATAAATCTTTGAAAAATGTAAAATAAAAAAGAGATCTATCTAGATAATATAACACGTGGAGCTTTTTTGGATATTTAGCCAAACAAATCAACTGTTCAAAAAACTTAAGACAACCTAAAAACTGACTAGATAGTTAATGTTGTTAAAGAATTATTATTCATCTTTTTAGTTGTGATAATGATATTGTGGTTATCTACCTAAAAACTGACTGGATATTAGATGATATTATGGAATTATAGCTACTATTTTTAAAAATATAATGGTATATCATGCTTATGTTTTTTTTACATTCTTATCTTTCAGATATTTAATAAAATATGGATATATAAACAACAAAATATATTTTTAAAATGAAGTGATACAGCAAGCATATTTCAAAATAACTTCAAATTAGCACATGCAGGAGAGAAACCAACTCAGTAAAGATGGATGGGAGAAACCACTCCCTTCTTTAACAGACAGCAAAGTCTTTCCCACATTTTCTTCTTAGTTTCAGTCCTACAACCAGTTCAGCAAAAGGGTGACCATACCTGGTTCCCATCAATGGTGTAATCATGCTTGATGGCGTAGACTTTCCCTACAGACACTGCAATGGCATAAGCGACCACAGAGATGGAAAATGATGCAGTCAGCATCTCAGAAAACAGACTCACAGATGGCATTGCTGGAGGCAAAAACCTAGTTTTCAAATGAAAAGTGTTGTGACAATTTGACTACAATGCTCTTCCCCCACCTCACCAAATGCTGCATCAACCCAGCCACAAGTCAGACATGAAAGAATTTAATCCAAGAGAACAAGAGCTACATAAGATGGATAAGTAGCAGCACCTGCTTTTACAGTTTTCAGTCAGAAGCTGGTGCTCTCTCACTGGCTGATTCCTTTGTCCCCTATTTGAGAGGTTATGGATGCTGCCTTATCTACGCTCTGACAAGAAGAAACCTGTCAGTACTGATTTTTTAACACCACATAATTCTATGCTGCACCATCTCATACATTAGTGTTTCTCCTTACAATTTCATTTCAGAGGTCTTTGATATCTTTGATATCAAAGGTCTTTGATATCCTAGCCATTAAAGAGATTTACCCTGTACAAGAAGTGGTCAGGTCAGTTACAGAGACAAAGAATGTACGATGTTGAAACAGCGAAGTGGAAAATCCTTATCGAAGAGCCATGATACTTAAAATCTTCTTGAGTACCCCCAAAAGATTAAATGTATATGGTTATCAGAATGCTCCACAGTCACTATAGTTGTGGGATCAAACAGTTACTATTTGACAAAACCAAAGCTACTCACCAACCATATAAAGAAATAAATCTACAAGTTTATAAGTATGAAATCATCCCCAAGTATGAACATCACAAAGGATTCCTTTCTTGTGCCTGCATCTTAATGATTATCCATATGGCCAGTTCTCTGGCAAAAAAAAAAAAAATCCCTGACCGACCTCATACCTGACACTCCTTTCATAGGAAACTACACTTTTTTCCCCTATAGTTGGAAGTGGTAATGTAGAAATAAGGTTTTTATAGAAAGCCATAGAAATCTAGAACCTGCTAATATCTTAATATTATCCAAAGTATTATCCTAAATCTAATACCCTTGTAATTGTTGAATCTACCTTTCTCCTTTTGTTGATGAGGGAACTGAGGCCCAGAAGAGTGAAGTATTTAGTGGGTCCGAGTGTGAATGTTAGACATTGGATGATTTCCTGAGTAACCAGATCTGATTTGCCCTCTTAGAGCTTGCTGGTTAAGAAAAAGAATTAGTGAGAGAATAGGGGGCCCTGGTTTGGGCGAATCCCAGTGAGATGCTCAGAAGCTGACCACACTTGGAGAAATTGCATATTTGACCAAGAAAGGCAGTAGGGGAATAGGGCAAGTGGTTATGGTTTGGGGGACGGTGTCCTTGGACACTGAGCAATACTGACATATGGTATGGACTCTCAATGGGATTAAAGAAAACTGCCAGTAATGGCTGTGCTTTTACTCCCTCATTGGGGGATTGACATGGAGAGGAGATGAAGAAGTGGGCTGGCACAATCTATATTTTTTTTGTTTTGTTTCGGCTGTGCCACACAGCATGTGGCATCTTAGTTTCCTGACCAGGCATAGAACCCACGCCCTCTGCATTGAAAGTGAGGGGGTCTTAACCATTGGACTGTCAGGGAAGTTCCACAGTCATTCTTTTGTTCCTCTTCATTTCGTCCTACTCATCCCACGCTCCTTTCCTTGCCCTTTTCCAATCTCCATATCATGCTTTCTTTTCCAGTGTTTGTTAATGTTATTATACTTATTTCTGGGGTATCAAAAAGCTGAACAAGACAAGTGAGATGACTACCCTTGGGGAAGAGCTTATATATATCCCGGGGTGAGGCAGACTGACCAATCACAACAAACGGTCTGTCAGAGCATTCAACTTGACTAACCCAACAGCAAGAGGCTAGAGATCCATTTTCAGCAGGAGAGCATCCAGGAAATCTCTTGATAGGACCAGAAAGGATCACTTGTGGCAGCAAAAGGGAGTGCCCAAAATCTAGTAATAGAACATGGACTTAGGGGACAGGGCATTTGCCATGGACCTCCTCTAAGAGTTATACCTAGGAAACCTGATAACGTGGATCTATAAAATATATTTTTAATGTAGCTATTTGAAACTACTCAAATAATCTAGTTGTTAGGGTGAAAACACTGTAACTCAAGTAGCCACACTGCATCTTTTTATTACTAAATTTATACCAGCATTAGGATTCATTATCAAAATGTTGATCCTCTAATGTAAAGTTTCCCAAACTTACTAATCATTAGAATCATGTGAAGCCCCTTTGAAAAATATTAATTAGGTTTAGGATGAGAACCAGGAAGGAATTTGTGTTAACAAGGCCTCGCGTAATTCTTAGAAAAAAGTGAGTTTTTGAAACACTGGAATGGATGATACATAAATTAAGCCCCATGTAGCCAGTTGTAACTTTTCTTTCCTTTTTTTAAATAGATTAGAAGAAATCATACAATTAATCTAATGTCAAGGCAGCAGTTCCCTGTGGAATAAGCCCCGGGGCTGGCCTGGCCTGAGGAATTTCTATTAAGGGCATGAAAAACAGAGTGTTACAGGTCCCTCAGCTAGTATTTAATGGAAGAGAAACCAGTACTCACTTGTCATCTAATAGCAAGTCTAGTCACGAATGCTGTAAGTTAATGTTACAAATCTAATAAACATTTGTGTTTCTTTTTCACTGTCATACGATCAAATTACACTGTAGGGCCCTTGGTTCACTCTGCACTTTATGAGGGATCTCACTGGTGTTTTACAAGAAGCTGAGGTTGAGATTTCAGTGGTTTGTCACCATCTTTGTGTTGCTGGCTCAAATGATAAAGAATCAGCCTGCAATGCAGGAGACCTGGGTTTGATCCCCTAATCAGGAAGATCCCCTGGAGAAGGGAATGGCAACCCACTCCAGTATTCTTGCCTGGAGACCTCTATGGACAGAGAAGCCTGGTGGACTACAATCACAGGGTCGCAAAGAGTCAGACACAACTGAACGGCTCATACTTAGACTATAGGAGAACCCCACTTCGCCCCAGCGCCACAGAACTAGATGGCGACAGAGGACAAAGACTCCTAGTTCCTTACTCTTTTAATTCACCAAACTACCAAAATAGCAAACCTTCCTTAAAGATCGTCCATTTTATTTATAGGAACAAATGATATAATTATTATCTTAAGCTGATTATATGGAAGAGAATTTAGGCTAAATCTCCCTTTTTCTTTAAGCAGATTGTTCTCAGTACAATAAGCGTTACACACCATGATTCTCCTTATACTGTAATTGTATATGTGAGTTTAAATCAGGGGTCTGGAGTTAACTGTGGATGTCCTGCCATGTTTTAAGAGTGTAAAGAAAAAGACAGAGCATATAGTGCTGCTTTTAAACAAATGACTTGATCTTTAGCTGATAGTTTGCACAAATGGGATATTTCTTTAAGATAATACACATGAGACTATTGAAGGACCACCAGTGAAATGAAGCTTGTTTCATTTAAATAGGAGGTACTGACAATTTATTATTAATGCCTAAGAGGAACTCCATACTCACCCACTTGGGATGGATTTAACAATGCCAGCATTATAATTTTTTTGCAGGTCAACTCCATATGAAATGGCAGTAGCTACTATTGTCTGAAATAAAAGAGGTTTTAAAAGAGTTCATTTGTTTGAACAGTTCCTTTCTTACAAAGCTAATTAATGCTGAATTTTCTAATTACACATTCTACTTACCACAATCACTTCTATAGGAATAGGGACTGGGATTTTGTGTTTAAATCGATCATTTAATTCCTTAACAGCCATACAGATGATAATGGTGAGTAAGCCAGCAATGAAATCAGCAAGATTAGTGTTACCAATATTTTGAAAAATCTCAACCAGTGTCTGTAAAAAAAATAATTTCATATACCTCCTGTATGAAAAATCATATCATCATCAAAGAGCACTTAAGAATTTCATGTAAAATTTAAAAAATTTTAATTTGTGTTTGTTAATACAGACACCATTAATGTCTAACCCTTGTAATATAAATACCAAGTTACTAATGATGGTTAACTTGAAGTGGCAAAAGTATGGGTGATTTCTGCTTTCTTATTTTAGCTTATCTATTTTTTCGAATAAAAATGAGACATTTTAAAATAAAATATATCATTATATACTGTCTTTTGCTTGCAGAAAAGCTTTAAAAGTTTATACCTTAAGTAGCTTTACAGGTGCTACTAAGTTACCTAATTTTCATCATGTTGATATGTATTATTGAGATTAAAAACAGAAATTAAAAGTCCTGGTTAACCAATATTTTAGGTAAAACTCTTCACTAAACATGAATGATACAGATGTTAATAAAAATTCCTAAAATTCTTCATATGTAGATACATATGGACTCGTCCATTCTTTTTTTTTTTCTTTCTTTTCTTTTTTTTCATCCATTCTTTATGACAAAGAAAAGCTATTGAATTGATATATAGGTCAAATAGAAATTTTTGGAAATTAATTTGGTACTTAGTTCAAACTTGAACTATGATCATTTAAATAAAACTAACTCTTTCAAAAAAAAAAAAAAGCAAGAGAGTTCCAGAAAAACATCTATTTCTGCTTTATTGACTATGCCAAAGCCTTTGACTGTGTGGATGACAATAAACTGGAAAATTCTGAAAGAGATGGGAATACCAGACCACTTGACCTGACTCTTGAGAAACCTGTATACAGGTCAGGAAGCAACAGTTAGAACTGGACATGAAACAACAGACTGGTTCCAAATAGGAAAAGGAGTACGTCAAGGCTGTATATTGTCACCCTGCTTATTTAACTTATATGCAGAGTACATCATGCGATATGCTGGGCTGGAAGAAGCACAAACTGGAATTAAGATTGCNCAGGAGGAGAAGGGGACAACAGAGGATGATATGATTGGATGGCATCACCGACTCAATGGACATGAGTTTGGGTAAGCTCCGGGAGTTGGTGATGGACAGGGAGGCCTGGCGTGCTG